ATCAGCATCATCATCAGCATCATCATCATCCTCGCAGTGGACAGACATGCCAACCAGGCAGCCTCGAACCGGAGACCGCTCTTCAGTGCCGAAGCCTTGAAACCGGTTCGCCGAACAGACCGACGGCGTCAATTATGCCCATCACTCTGGCCGCCTCGGCCAGTTCACCGCCCCCGGACTCGGACTCAGGCCATGGAGCCACTACGGAAGAGAACAGCAGCTCCCTGCAGTCATGCAGACTTCCGGTGTCCGGTCTTGGAGCGGAGCCAGGCGCTGGACTATCAATTTCCAGCACTGGCTGGTTAGAAACCCCGTCAATCGACCCCAATGAGGGCAGTGCTCGAGAGACGCAAACTCTTCTTTCAAAGACTCCGACAACCTCAGGCTCAAACCCCAATTTTCCGCAACGCAGTCGTCCATCTCCGCCCTATCAACTCCATAGTTACCCGGTGATACAGGAGCGACGATTGCAGGACTCCAGGAGTCCAGTCTGTTCGAGCGATTTGTTGGCCACTTGTTTGTACAGAAGACGAACGCCAAATGACCGGCTGAGTCCACACTCGCTTTGGCAGAAGTGATCATGTGAGTTCACGCACAAAGTAGGTGACTGCCATTCGCTTGGTTACCTTAAACCAAATAGACTAAAAACATTGATAGATTAGGGAATACGTCGAATGTGAGGAAGGGTGGTAGAAAGTTGAGTAGCAACTACGCACGCATGATTGATAGATTGAAAGAGAGAGAGACCGGTTGTTGAGCTACCATCCCAAAGAAGATGACTCAACTTGTCCGCTCGGTGATGGTTTCAACTTCCCTCACACTCGTCCAACCCCAGTCTTGACTTTCCTTGGGGGTTAAACGTTAATGACCCTAGACTGAAAGGTTAGTGCAAGTGGTTTCGTAGAGTGACTTACATGCTTACAAGCTTGTATCTCACTATATCAACCCTAGTTACTTAAAGACTCTGATTTAGGACCGGTATTGTGTATGGACATTAATACACACACTCACACACACTTATACACATACACACACACGAACAAAAATAGCGTTACCAGTA